GCTAGCTGAAACAGGCTGCTCTTCCTGCAAGCAGTAGACAAAGCAGGCAGCTGCCAAACTATGTTAGAAGGGAGCATTGCACAATTTTAAGCGAGCATGTTCCCTGATTGATCAGCAACGAAACAACGTTAACCGGGATGACTTTAAGTGAGGAGTTGCTGTACTTGTATTCAAGTGAGTTCAATGACAGTCAATCAGAACTATGCAGTACAAACATTCAAATTATCATCAAGTTGACTGAGCCCGTTAAAAAGAAATACTGCGTACTGAGATTCTTTTTATTTACTTTCTTATCTTTAAGGCTTTAGGGTTCCCACGGGGAGAGGTGACACACACACACACACGCTCCCATATACCTCTCTCACACGCGGGGGTGACCGACCCAACCCTTTCTGGCTGGTGCTCTCCGCCCATCATGCCTGGCTGGGCCCCTGGGATGGACCTGCCTCTCCCGGTACCTGGCACCACATCTTCCCAAGGCAACATGTTAGGGGTGGGGCACGCAGGGTCACAAGGCCCCCCTCCCCAGATTTCTGCCAGGGTTCACACCAGAATGTGGTCAGCAGAAGCCTTTCGGCACTGTGCAGGAGGGAAGTGATGGGAGCTGCTTCCAGCCACAGGGGAGTGTGTGTGGGGGGGGGGAGGGATGACCTGGCCCGTGTCTTTGCGGATCTCATCTCTTCCCCCGCCCCTCCCCGCTCCACCCGCCCGCCCGCCCACCCACCCTACCCCGCTCTCTCCCCACAGCTGGAAGCAGCTTGTGCCTTCCTCCACGCACAGTATTGAAAGGCAGCTTACCCCTCCAGGCTGCTCCTAGCCACCAATATAACCAGCCACCTCCTGTCCCCCGGCTACAGAGCAGGCAAGAAGGGGTTAAGCCCTAAGGATGCATTGTGCACCAGGCCAAGGAACCTGACTGCAGAGGCTTCAGCGAACCAGGCCAAAGAGGTGGCTCAGCAGGAGAGGGTGATGCAGCAGCCCCATGCTCCCTGGGGGCAGGACCCAGGGCGGGTGTGTGCATGGGTGAACAGAGTGTTAAGCTCCTGCTTGAGGGGCTGCTGTGGAGCCTGCAGATTTGGGGCGGGAACAGGCTGGAAATTGCTTCCCTCCCCCCACTCCAGAGCTTAGCTGAGGAGTGGAGAAGCTTCCCCGTGCCAGTGCTGTGCGGAGCTTTGGCACATGCAGGGCTCGGATCCTCCTGGCCAGTGCCCCAGGCTTTCCCAGGGTGCCAGCCCAGCCAGAGGCAGTGGGGGAAGGAAGGAGCCTGCTGGCGAGGCTGATGGTGACCTGATCACTCCGACCAGGGGCTGGTTTCCGCATAGCGCTAGGCACGGGATATGGAGGAGCAGCGGGGCTGGTGTGGGGGTGTGTGAAGGGGTAAAGCAGGGAGAGGATAGCGAGAGGGGGAGCACGTAAAGGGCCGATGGGTGGACAGCTGAAGCGAAACGTAACCAGCTGCTGCCTGACACCAGCCTGCACTCACCAGCCACTGCAGTTCACAGCGCGCAGCCAGTGCCATCCAGAAACGGGACTGGGGATGGGGCCCTGCTGGCCGAGAGCTGGCACGCAGCAGGGGCTACGCTGATGGACCAGCAAGGTGAGCGGCTGGCCCCACGCGTTGCAGCTTTGCCCCGCCACCAGCCTTGCACGCCCACCCCCATCGTTGGCCACTGGACCTCCCCACTCACCGCTGGTGGGCGGGTAGCTAGCGAGCAGGGATCCGGCCATAAGCAGAAACCACCAGTACTGATGGGGGCAGACAGAAAATACGAGACAATTTGCCCATTTTTTAAAAAAAAAAGTCAGGACACCTGTGGGAGGGCTTAAATATGGGACTGTCCCTTTAAAAACGGGACATCTGGTCACCCTAACTTTAAGGAGTTTCCATGCTTCACAAACCGAGCAAAGGTAAAGCCTGTGGATTATACAAAAGACCCTACGGAGTCCATGTGGAGGTTAGAAGCTCCACAAAAGTCCCTATAAGAATCTCTGTGTTTCAGAAAAAATGCTGTTTTCAGTGAGACTAGGATCAGATTAGTAGTAAAAGAACCATTTGTAATGGAATACACATGATAATTTTGGCCAAAGTTCAAGGCAAAACCTCAAAATGAGTGGCTGATGGGTATGAATGCTAATTATTTTCTAGAGACTGAGCTAAGCAGGACTAAAAGCCATAAAACAGAAAAAGACATCACAGATAACACAGACTTCCCAAAGTTACTGCATATCCAGGGCTGAAAACATGGAAGGAAATCCATCAGAGAGCATTTAGTATTCCAAAATTTCCATTCTAAAACCAAATCACCCTTGACCTCTAAAATAACTCAGTTATAAAATACCTAAGTCTTATATCAGCATTTGAACCAGAATTTAATGTGCTGGTTTTGGTTCTGAATGACAAAAATGTAGCTCATTTTTAAACCGCGGTCAACAATCTATCAGACATGTTCAAATTTCCCAAGAGATCTAGCTAATACATTGTAATCCAAATCAATGACCAGATAACAGGTTGCACCAGCATGGCTCATTCCTAAACTTCATAACAGGAGATTTAAGAAGCTAACAGCTATCACTCCCCTTTTGGCATTCCTGACAGCTGGAACACTCTCTATGGATAGAATCTTTTAATCTATGGAAAGAGCTAAGCGAGAAAGAGAGATGAGGCTGCATTTCATTGAGATGGCACTAGCACACATTGATGTATTTTTGCATTATTTGTATGTACTGAATTGTTTATGTGCTCAGAGTGCAAAGATATCCCTAATTTATAAATTAAATGTTAATAGATATGTAATTCATACACCCACTTCAATTCTGACATGATATTAGCAGCTAATATTAAATGAGACACTAGAGTTAGAGATTAATGCTTTATACCACTTGAAAGCTGGGTATCAAGCTTTCAGAGGCAATACAGCACTTGGGTCCGTATCATGCAATCAGGCCCTCCTGAATGGATCCAAATGCAGGATTGGGACCTTGTTTTCTGCCTCTAGAAGTCCAAAGCAGTGGCTTCTAAAATGATAGTGGAATTGAAGTGTAAGGGAAGGAAAAACAGGGAACAGCAGCAGCAATCTGAATTACATGATTTTAAGGCCAGAGAAACCAATGGCACTGTTAAAATCCAAACTATTGTGACCTATCAGGGCTTGACGAAAATGCTACCGTTGGAAAGCGGAGAATCACAGGGCTAATAATGGGTAACAGTGGACTTTTAAAGTGTCACTAGTCCTTCGTTCTAGCAATGCTTATCCATAGTGACTCATGACTGAAAGAAAAGGTCCTGACCTCATAACCAATGTAATTTAAATTTTCTGCTAGAGTTTAATATCTGTTGTTCTGATGGCTTCCTATAAACCTTTCTGGAGATGTGAATTGTATAGCATCAGCACCTACTAGTACTGCTAAAGCTGACATCAAAAAGTTAACATTATAAACACTGTTTAAATCTCAGATATAAAATTTAGCTCCAGGCTGAATCTTAGTAAACTAAGATCATTAACGGGATAATGATCCTTTTGTCTACGCAAACAAGGGGAAACAAGCAAACAAGAGATTGAAATGTTTATAGAAGCTATACT